CTTAAATTTTGTTAGGTTTTGCCAAATTCAGCTTCATTGTGATTGTGCCATTTTCCATTTCCATTAGTAGTAAATGAAAGTGCTTGTTTCCTCCACAGCCTCACCAACAAAATCTGTTGTTGAACTTTATTGTTTTTGAGTCATAATTAGAAACCAAGGTCATATGACCTTTTCCAGGTCATAAAGGAATTCACCAATGTTTTATGTTAGAATTTAGATTGTTTCATGTTTTTTGCATTTAGATCTCTTATCCATTTGGAAGTTTTTCACTAGGATATAGTATAAGGTTGAGATCTAATTTTATCTTTTCCAAAATGATAATAGGATTGTAGGACCATCATTTATTTTAGTCTGTTTTCCCTTATAATTTGAAATGTCTGTTTCATCATATACTAGATATCTGAACGTATGTGGGTGTATTTTGTCCATTGGTCTTTCTTCCTATTTATTTAGTGAGGTCTTACGTTTTAAAATCAGTAGGACTAACCATTGCTTTTTTTTGCAGGGTTTTCCTGGCTATTCTTGCCTCTTGTTTTTTTATGTGTTCTTTAAAATCAGCTTGTCTAGCATCAGAAAAAAAAAAACCTATTGATTTTTTAATCCATATTAAATTTTATCTGAGCTTTATGATTTTGAATTGTCCTGTCCACAAATTAGGTACCTTTCCACGTATCCAATTCCAGGTTTTTTTGTTTGTTTTTGTTTTTACAGCTGTGTTTTAAAGTTTTCCTCACATAAGCTTTGCACATTTCTTTTAAATGTTTATTCCTAAACACAGTAGTATCTCCTTATCCTTGAGGGATATATTCCAAGAACCCCAGTGGATTACTGAAACCCTGAATATTACCAAACCCGATTGTGATCAGTCAGCACTTTTCTGTTCATGCCTTCCACCTACAAATGTAATGTCTTAACTAAGATGCAAACTTAATCCATTTTAACTAAGCACTTATGCACTGTGGCTGCAGCTTTTGCAGTCTGAGGTGTGACAGCAAAGCTACCATAATTTTTTCTCTTCGCAGTTTTGTAGATAGAAGATTTGTTACCATAGACCTTAGTAACCTCAGCATGCTGGTTTTTTCTCTCCTTAAGTCGAGAACTTTCACCTTTTCACTTAAAGGAAGCACTTTACGCCTTGTCTTTGGCATATCCAAATTGCCAGCATCACAACTCTTGTACTGTGGGGCCATTATCAAGTAAAATAAGGGTTCCTTGAATATAGGCCCTGCAAATACCACGACAGTGATCTGATCACTGAGCTAACTACTGAGTGACTCAGAGGCAGGTAATGTGTACTGTGTAGAGTGGAATGGTGGGAGATTTCATCACACTACTCAGAATTGCATGAAATTTAAAGCTTATAAGTTGTTTATTTCTGGATTTTTTCATTTAATATTTTCTGACTGAGATTACCCATGGGTAACTGAAACCGTAGAAAGCAAAACTGCAGGTAAGGAAGGACTGCCATATTTCATCTTTTTTTGCTGCTAAGGTAAGGTCTTCTCTTCCATTCTGTCTTCTAAGTGGATATTATTAGTGTATATGATAGCTATTGATTTTTGTGTTAATTTGAATTATTTTATTTTGTGGTAGTTTTATACTGACTTTCTGGGATTTTCAGGTATCTCTCAGATTACCTGAAAATTAAGATAGTTTTTCTTCTTCCTTTCTAATTTGTTTGCCTATAATTGTGGGGTGGGGGTGGAGATTTGGTCTGATTACATTGGCTAATCCATCCAGTTCATTAATAATAGTGGAGATAGTGGGCATCCTTGCCTTGTTCCTGACTATGAAATGCTAGATTTGGGGCTGAGTTGTGTGTGTTTTATCATATTAAGTATCCATCAATTTCTATTTCATTACTTTTTGTTTTTTAAAATCAGGAAAAGGTATTGAATGTTGTTGAATTGATAAAGAAGATTACATAATATTCTTCTTTAGTAAACATTTGGTAGTGCAATAAATTATATCAATTGGTTGCCTAATATTGATTCATCCTTAATTTCTGGAGCAAATACCACTTGGTTGTGATATACTGTTTTTTAATTTACCATAGGATAGTGTTTGTTCATATTTTATTTAGATTTGAATTTATGTGGCTTCAGTAACATAAATGACTTCACCACAGTGTTTTTAAAAGGCTCATTATATACTATTTAGTAATCTTTTCTATAATTTTCCAAAGGATTAGTATCATTGAGTATAAACAGACTCCATACTTAGAAGTGTGGTAGCTAAGAACTTCATGCTGATTTCAAGTGGATGATTTCTGTCCTTCACCAAACCAGACCTCCAGTTCCTTCTTCAACATCTTTCTGTATAATTCTGTTTGAAGGCCACTCACTCTTTATTGAAAAACTGGAATGCACAATTGGAGTTACATAATCCTATCTTTCTCTGTCATATGTTGCTTTTATCATTGTCTCTTCAACATTGGACAATAATTCCTTCTTTTTGCCAAATTTAGCTCCAAAAAGCTCTTAGGTTTTAGAGCCTACCATACTTATATAACTCAAGTTAACTCCAGGTTCTGATATTGCTTTCATGAATAACATATTTGGAAAAGAGTAGAGATTTTAGCTCTGTTCGAGTGGTGCTGTGTTCTTCCCAATCCCTTCCCTATGTATTCCGTTCACTCTTCTCATTCTCTTGTTTAAACAAAAAAGTTTTGTCACATTATCTGTCCATCTATCCATCTGTCTTATCTCTGTACACATATGCACACATATATATTTTTTTCTATTGGTTCTCTTTCTTTGGAGAACCTTGACTGATACACCATGTGACCCAGCAATTCCATTCCTAGGTGTATACCCAAGAAAAATGAAAATGTAGGTCCACACAAAAACTTCTACACGAATGTTCACAGTAGTAGTATTCATAATAGCCCAAAGTGACACAACTCAAATATCAATCATCTGATAAGTGGATAAAATGTGGTATATGTGTACAATGGAATATTTTTCAAATATCACAAGGAGTGAAATACTGATGCATGCTATAGCATGGCTAAATCTTACGGTATATAATGAATCTAATGTTTTATGTTATATCTGTATCTGGTTATCTGGCTACATCTTCTGTTGGTTCTGTTTTTCTGAGGAACTCTGATATACCATATGATCCAGCAATTCCATTCCTATGAGTATATATGTAGATAGATATCTTTACATGATATCTACATGTCCGTAAATGTAGATATCTATATAATACATAGAAATGTCTGTACTTATATAGAGAACAAGAGATTGAGATTTACTTTAAGGAATGGGCTTACTTGATTGTGGGGGCTGGCATGTCTGAAATTTGTAGGGCAGGCTGGCAGGCTGGAAACTCACATAGGACTTCTATTACAGTGTTGAGGCAGAATTTTTTTCTCTAAGACATCTCAGTTTTTGCTCTTAAGGACTTCAACTAATTGGATGAGGACCACGCACATTATTGAGTGTAATCTCCTTTACATAAAGTCAGTTGATTGTAAATGCTAGTAATATCTTCAAGATATCTTCACAGCAACATCCAGATTATTGTTTGACCAAACAACTGAGCACTATAGTCTAGCCAACTTGACTCAAAATTAATCATTACATATGGTAACTCTGTGTTTAACCTTTTGAGGAACTCCCAGGTTTCTGAAGCACCATTTTACATTCCCACCAGCAATGTATGAAGATTCTGATTTCTCTGCATCCTCACCAACACCTGTTAATATCTGTCTTTTTTTTATTAGCGCTGTCCTAGTGTGAAGTGGTATCTCATCATGGAGATTTGCCTTTTTAAGTTCAATATTGTGTTTCTAAGATTCATTTGTGCTGTCACATGTAAGCTGTTCATTCATTTTCACTGTGATATAATACTGTGTTAAGATACTCCATAATTTATTCATTATTAATATTCATGCTGCTATTTCAATTACTATTCATATATTAATATATGTATATATATCAATAATTTATATTTATAATAATTTATACATTATTCATTGTTCTATTGATGGATGATTTGGTGTTCAATTTTTTGCTTCTGTGAACAGAATATTCTTATACATGTTTCCTGGCACACATGTGCAAGAGTTTCTCTAGACTGTGCATAAATCTCGGAGTGGTATTGCTGGTCCGTAGGGTATACAATACTCAAGTTTACGAGATAATGCCACCCATGTTTTCCAAATGTCTCTATCAATTTGCTTTCCCATTAGTGTATAAGACTTTTGTCTCTCAATGTCCCACGTGGAACCATCAGGCCCCTTTTTGCCAATTTCATGGGTTTCTCAATTTGCACTTCCCTGGAGGCTAAACATATCTTCATATGTTTATTAGTCATCTGATTGCTCCTTTTAAAAGTGCTGGTCATTGTGTCTTTTGCCCATTTTTAAAAATTTGCTCATTTCTCTTATTGGTATGTGTAGATTCTTTATTCTACACATTAATATTTTATCAGTTATATATGTTACAGGCATCTAGTTTGTTTTTTTTCCTTTGTGGTGTTTTTTGGTAAACAGAAGTTGTTGATTTTAATGCAGTTCCTCATTAATGCTATACCTTATGCTTACTGTGTCTTAAGAAAGCCATGTTTAGATGGATAGCCATCTCATTCTTGTAGCCAAGCATGTTTATTGTAATTTTTCTTCCATCTCTGAAATAATTTGCTTGTCAGACTCTATAGGGATTATTCCTCTGTATGTGGTACTTTAAAAAAAACTTTAAACATGTCAAATAATGGAAAAGATTGGAGAAAATATCATAAGGTGATTGATACTTAAGGCCGTGTCTTATAGATAGAATACATACTTAAATTTGGTGAAATATTCTGCAACTCTTCTAGATGGCAGGTGATAGTAAATACACAAAAATTGTGGTTCTACCAATAGCATATTCATTCCTTCTATAACAAAACTTGTATTAATGAGAGAACAGAAGATGAAATTAAAAGAGACTTTATTCTCTCTTAAAAAGCCATGAGACTTAACAAAAGTTAACAGTGTGTTTTTTTTAATTCAGGAAGAGGATCACCTGGCCCGGGTAGAAGAGGCAATCACTCGTATGCTTGTGTGTGCCCTGAAAACTGCAGAGAATCCACAAAATACCAGAGCCTGGTTAAACCCCACTGAGGTAGGCAGCTTTTGGTCTTCATCATGGCAGTTAAGTTTCCTGTGGTAAACCAGCGCTGACTAGGACTTTTGTTTTCCAATGTAACTAAATGTATGTAACCATTTTAAAGGGTTTTTCTTTTCCCTTAGGTTGAGGAAACGTCCCATGCAGTGAACTGTTGCTACTTAAATGCAGCTGTTTCTGCATTTTTTGATCGTTGCAGAACATCTAAGGTAGTAGAAATCCAAGCACCGAGAACAGATGGAGAGCGCATGAAAAAGGAAGAATTAAATGTGTACAGCCACATGGAGGTGGGCCAAACAGGTAGCCAGAACTTGACCACAGGAACAGGCAAACCGGAGGCAGCAAGTCCCTTTGGCCCTGATCTGGTACCTGTGGCACAGAGGTCCGAAGAACCACCTTCAGAAAGAGGAAGCATATTTGGAAGTGATGGGAAAGACTTTGTTGACAAGGATGGAGAACACTTTGGAAAACTGCATTGTGCCAAGAGACAACAAATAATGAACAGTGAAAAGGCAATTAAGGAACAGATTGCCTCAAATGCTACTACGGCTCCTTCTCAAACATTCATTTCTACGGACGACTTGCTGGACTGCTTGGTGAATCCACAAGTAACCAGGATAGTGGCACAACTTTTGATACAAGGAAGAAGTTTATGATTCTAGTGGAAGATGACTTTTAAAATAATATTTTTTAAATATGTATTTTTAAGTAGTGTGACTGTAAAATAAAGATGAACCAGCAAAAGGTCAGTTTGCACGTTTGTAAATGTATTTGTCCTTACCGAATTACATTTCAGTCTGTTGCCACCTTCCTTTTTTTTTTTTTTTTTTTTTTTTTTTTTAATTTAAGTTCTAGGGTACATGTGCACAATCTGTTGCCACCTTCTTTCATGCATATTCCTCTTTGGCCAAACTGGCTGCTCTTTGTTTGTAAGCTTTTGTTCCTCCCTCATCCCATACTTTCAGCTTGTCTCAAATGTAAGTCCCAAGTATTTCCAGCAGGAAGTAATGTCTTCCTCAGCCTCAACTAGGGACCAGCCTGCTGCTTACTTTTGCAAATAAAGTTTTACTAGAACACAGCCATGCAATTCATTTACATATTGTCTACGATGTCTTCAAGATTACAACGGCAGTGTTGAGTAGTGACAGAGAGTGTGTGGCCCAGAAAAAATATTCACTATCTGTTCCTTTACCGAAAAGCTTTGTCAGCCTCTGGTCTAATGGATCCACTGGGTCTGGAATCTAGCCTTGCTCTGAGGTGATCTCACTTGTAACAGCTACAGAATTCTCACTGGATAACCCCTGTCATTCAGAGCAGGATACCAATCAGAAGAAAAGTAGTTGTGGGTTCAGTATGAGGCCTCTTCAGGCAAGGAACTTGGGACATCTAGGAACACCAATCCTGGGACTAAAAAGGACTCAAAATCCCCAAACAGTGACTAAAGACTTAGCTCAGTGAAATTGATCCCACTCTCATTACATTTGCAAGATCCAGGGATAATTAATCACCATCACTGTCTAAGAAGGAATTTAGAAATTAGAAAAGCATGTTGATCTCTGGGTAACCATGCATGAAACAAATACACAACAGAAAAGATATGCAAAGTCACCTTTGAGTTGAACTAATAGCTGGCTATCCTACTGTCCTCGAGGTAAAGAGTATCAGTAAATCCGAAGAAAGTACGTGTTTTCATGGAGGGAAGAAGGGTGTTGTTACATAAGCATGCCCAGGGAAAGAAGGGTCTGAAAAGAGTCCTTCTGTGGCACTTATCTCCATCTGACCACTATGTATTTACCTATGAATTTCATTAGCATCTCTCCCAACCAAAATGTAACTCCTTAAGGGTAGGGACTTTGATTATTGCTGTTATTTGCAGAGCCACAATCAGTGCCCAGCATGTAGTAGGTGCTTATTAAATATTTGAATGAGTGAATAATAAAAATAAGACCTTATTGACAATACCTCATCAAGTACATTGGGACAGAGAATGTGGCCAAAGATAAGGTAGCTGTTATTTTTGGTATATTCCTATTGCAGAAATAGACATCATTTACTACAGATATTTTACTTTTTATGCTTGCTACTCCTTTGACCACTTTTTCAAACTGCAGATAGTGACCTATTATAAAATCATTGTAGCAGGTGAGACCAGCGTTTTTTGTTTTTTTGTTCTGTTTTGGTTTTTTGTTTTGAGGTGGAGTGTCGCTCTGTCGCCCATGCAACAGTGCAGTGGCCCGATCTCCGCTCACTGCAACCTCTGCCACCCGGGTTCAAGCGATTCTCTCAGCCTCCTGAGTAGCTGGAATTACAGGTGCACACCACCATGCCCAGCTAATTTTTGTATTTTTTTTTTTAGTAGAGACGGGGTTTCACCATATTGGCCATGCTGGTCTCGAACTCCTGACCACGTGATCTGCCTGCCTCAGCCTCCCAAAGTTCTGGGATTACAGAGACCAGCGTTTTTTGTTTTCTGTTTTTAAATGGAATAAATAATTTCACTGAATTGGAATACTCTATTATTTCAGGAAACCTTTCATGAAAAATATTTCAGGGTAAGTATATCTCATAAAACTTTTCAGTTACATCTGTGTATGTATTGGGCCTGATATAAAATGTATTTTTTAGTGTAGGTTGGGGTCAGGAAAGTTTACAAGGCATTTTGAGACAAAACATTTAATTCAATTAGAACATTTAATTCAATTGTTGTGCATGGATTTCTATGGTATGAAACAGATTATGGGGGATAATTTCCTGATTTCATAGAGACCGTAAGGCAGCAAGAGGTTCTGACTATCTGCAGAGAATGATGTGAGAAAAGAGAGTGAAAGGGGGGCTGTCAGCCACCATGGTAGCTGTGTCCCTTTTCATCCTGCATTTCACAGGTAAGCTGACTGAGCAAGTGAAATCATTGATTAAAGAGAACCTCAGCTGGGTGCCGTGGCTTACACATGTAATCCCAGCACTTTGGGAGGCCAAGGCGGGCAGATCACCTGAGGTCAGGAGTTTGAGACCAGCCTGGCCAACATGGTGAAACCCCGTCTCTACTAAAAATGCAAAATTAGCCAGGTGTGGTGGCACACGCCTGCAGTACCAGCTACTCGGGAGGCTGAGGCAGAAGAATCGCTTGAGGCGTAGCTGGAATTACAGGTGCACACCACCATGCCCAGCTAATTTTTGTTGTTTTTTTTTTTTTTTTTAGTAGAGACGGTGTTTCACCATATTGGCCATGCTGGTCTCAAACTCCTGACCACGTGATCTGCCTGCCTCAGCCTCCCCAGTAGGCGGAGGTTGCGCTGAGCCGAGATCACACCATTGAACTCCAGCCTGGGCGCCAAAGAATACAAACCCAGCCGAATGTGCCTGTAATCCCAGCTGAGCCAGGGAGATTGCTTGAGCCCAACTCATGCAACATAGTAAAACCTCTATCCTTAAAAGAATAAAAAATAAATAAAAGCTCAGCCTTCCCCCTAATGTCACAGAATCAAGGGAGCAGCAGCAGGCTGCCTTATCCATTAGGTGCAGTAGACAATGGCTAGGGCCCACGAATCTTTTAGGAGGCCACAAAGATTTTTAGTTTCTTTTAAAATCAGGAACAAAATATATAATCCAGGCTCGACTTCATTTGTGTTCATGTCAATGCAGTTACAAATTATATTTAATTTTTTTATGCAATAAAGGGCCCACAATGGCAAAAGTGCCTGAGGTCCATGAACATTTTATAGTGGCTCTGGGTGTCAGAGATACCAGAATTATTTGAGGTGCTTGCCCAAAATGCAGATTCCTGGGAACCACTCTAGTGCTAGAGAATCTGACTCCTTTGGGACGAGGCCAGAGCTTGGAGGTGCAGCAAACACCTCAGGTGATCCAAATACCAAAAAAGAGAATTTCTGACCCTAGAGTAAACAACCAAGACCTATCACAGGTGCAAAGTGGACTTGTTTCAGCCGGGGCTACTTGCTGGGGTCAATAAGCCCTTCAGATTCACTGAACTATGGCTGTATCATGCCCCTTCCTGTAATTTTCAGCCAAATATTAATACACTGAGCATCCCTTCATGCTGTCATACTTAATTGTGGTTTTAAATTATTATTACTATCAGCAGTGGTCTGTGTTTATCATTAAGCCCCCCCATATTTGCCCTTTAAGATAAAAATGTTTACCATTAAATGACAGTTTTCCAGTATTTTATTTGAAAAGGAGGAAAATGACAGTTAACATGTTTAGATTGAGGATAACTATAACATTACTGAATGGATTGTTATTCTTCGGTGCGATATACCCTGATACTCAGCCTTACCCTGAGTTAACCAAACCATTGGAGAACAAAAGCAAATAACAGCGGGTCTCTCTTTTTTATTCCAATTTCTTACATTTATTGTCAATGATGAATTCAGATGCCAGTGGCCTGCCTAGAAAGCCACTCTTAAGCAATAAGGAGTCTGCCAATCCACTTAAAAAACAAACCACAAGAGAAAAAAATCCAAAACCTCTATGTTAATGAAGCAGCAACTGTGGCCGCCTAACCTCCTCCACTTCAAGTACAGGTGTTCCTAGCAGATTAAATCCCTTAATCCTCCCAGCGACCCCTAGCATCTGATGTGCTATCTGCACTGGCTCCGTGTCGGTATCAGCTCTGGCCTTGGCCTACAGAGTTTCAAATAAAGAGACTATAATAGAAGAAGCCAGAAGGAAAAAAACAACAAGGGAAGATGGGGGTATTTCAAGACTGTTGGAGATGTTCCTGAATCAGTGGCATTAATCTAGAGGCCATGTTCTGCAGTGGGAAGAGCAGTGGACTTGACATCACAGGGACCAAGATTCAGTTGCTGGCTCTGAGGGTTCCTGCTTAGGTGATCTCAGGCAAGGAAGCTTCTTGCACTCTGAGCATGTTTCCTCAAGTTTCAAATGCAGAGAGAATTCTTACCTCACAGGATTGTTTGAGGAATTGAGACAATGTGTGTGAAAGCCCCTATTTTACTACCTGGCACACAATCTACGTGCTCAATAGATGGTGTTTGAATCTTAAACTTACCTGGGGAAACTTTTAAAACTTTATCATTCAATAGATATGAGTTAGCAGATTAGCAATATGACTGCTCACTTCCTTTGGTTTATTTATACATAAGACATCAAAAGTTAGGCTATCAAGGAAAATATACTATTTAATAATCTTAGAGTTTGTTTAATCTCAGCACAGGAGAAGGGTTTCACAGTGAAGTTGTGTAGCAGGCGTTATCCCATTGTTATCACTGGCAGAACAAAGACCAATGAGTAGACACTATAAGAAGGCACACTGGCCGGCCGCGGTGGCTCACACCTGTAATCCCAGCAGTTTGGGAGGCTGAGGCGGGCGGATTACCTGAGGTTGGGAGTTCAAGACCAGCCTGGCCAACATGGAGAAACCTCATCTCTACTAAAAATACAAAATTAGCCAGGTGTGTTGGCACATGCCTGTAATCCCAGCTACTTGGGAGGCTGAGACAGGAGAATCACTTGAACCTGGGAGGCAGAGGCTGCAGTGAGCCGAGATCGCGCCATTGCACTCCAGCCTGGGCAACAAGAGTGAAACTCTGTCTCAAAAAAAAGAAGGCACATTTTGGTTCAACATTAAAAAGAGCCTTCTGGCAACTGGAGCCAGGGTTGTGCGGCGCAACTCCATGGGGCAGGATTCCCCTAGACCACAGCCACATCACAGCTCCTGGACCATGCAGGGAAAGTACACTGCAGTCCCAGAGCCCTGGCCAGAGCTGTCCCACATGTCACTGGCTAGTTTGGGGAGAATGAAGTTCCCATCATGGAATCTGTTCAATTTGAGGTAAAGTGACAGTAAGTCAAGAATGTTAGAATGTTAAAGAGATAGTTCCGACTTTGGATAGGAGCCTGACTAGGCTTTTTTTCGTTCTTCATTGGTTTATCAAACATTTATGGAGTATCCATTGTACATCAGGCACAGACCTCATCCCAAGGAAAACAATATGACTAAGATACCATCCCTGCTCCCAGAGAAGACAGAAGCCCTACCCACTTGGTAATACTGTGCTCCCCACAGCACTATGGCATCCTGACGTGGGGCCGGCT